CCGCACCTGTGGCCGGCGCTGCCCTGGCGCGCCGAGACCTGCCGCCCGCGCCTCCGCCGCCGCTCACACTTTTATGCTCCTGCCGGCGATCGACTTTTTTTTTGCAGACGGTGCCACTTCGCATCAACTTTCCCGGGAACTCGCTCCTCGCCTCCCCGCGCCGCGCTGCCCCCCGCCTCTCCCTGGGCTTTTTTTTTTTTTTTCCTTCTCTGTTTTTGTGTGCTTGTTGTTGCTTGCAGTGACAGCAGCTCCCCGCAGGCAGCGAGCGGTGGCTGCAAGTTGCCGTGCGCGGGCAAGAGCCTCCCTGGTGCCCGCGAGCGCCTTCCCCTCCCGGCCGGTCCCGGCGGAGCGCGGCCGAGCTGTGCTGAGGAGCGCGCGAGCCTGCCCCGTGCCACCTGCCAGGAGAAGAGGAGGCTGCCAGCCGTGCCGGAGTAATTTATAGGCGCCCAAAAGCGCAGGGGGAAAGGGAGCTGCCTTGGCATCTCATTCCGGCATCTGCTCCGCGCTTCCCACTCACGCAGAGTTTGGCATTACCCTGACAGTGCGGGGAGGTTTTTTTCTCTCCACCCCCCCCCTCCTTCCTTCCCTTGCTCACTGCACAGGGATGAGCAGTGAAATCGTGAGCGCTCCCTGGCTCAGCCTGGCGGCTCGCAGCTCAGACTGAGGGGAAGAGCCACGTTTAGGGGGGCTTGGCTCTTCCCTTCAGGTCACTGAGGCGGAATCAAAAGGTCACCCCCCGCCATGCTTTCACGTCTCCCCGAGGCTTCGCTCACCCTGGGAGCATGGCATACAAGTACTCTGTGGTGTCTGGTGGGAGCCCACTCTCCCCTGCTCCTGGTAAATGCCCCTCCAGCCCTCAGCCCAGAAGGCCGAGTTGTCCCCATTACCCCTAGAGAGATCAGGAAGGGGCAGTTTCTCTGTGGGCCCCACAGGTTGCTTCTAACCAGCTGCCCTCCTCCTGCCAGCCCAGCACTGTAATATGGTGCCATTCATCCCAGAAGCCAAAGGCAAATCTGCGTGGCCCAGGCCCCAGAGAAGGGGCTCTGGTGAGGACGGCTGAGGAGAGGCAGAGTTTCTGTTGCTCCCCGCCCCCAGCACCATCCCAGCACCACCACTCTCAGTGCGTGAGCCAGGTAGTGAAAGCCTGGCCCCGTTAGCAGCAACTCCCCTGAGAGAATATTAAGCAAGTTTCCCGCTCACAAACGTACAAGGTCCACGAACAGCTCTTTAAATAAACAAACAAAATTGATTCCTAAATCATACTTCGGCATTCAGGACCCATGGGTGTCAATCAAATGCGGGTGACATTTGCCTGTCAATACAGGGATGATGGTTGCAAAGAGTGTGACTTATTACAGCAGGGCGAGCATCCAAAATGAGCAGCAGCCTCAAATAAGACACCAGCCCAATAACAACATCTCTAGCGATGATCAGAGGGCTGTGATCTTGTCTGGGATCTTATTAGCACGAATCGCCTCCCCCCTGCCCCCTTCCCTTTTCTTTCTTTTCTACTCCGCAACACAAGAAGGTCAAACAGGCAGGCAGTGGGAAACAAAGATTCATCGATTCTTCCTTTTAAGCAGAAATGTCAGCAGCTCCTCTCGCTCTTTCCTGAGAGAATCAAAGGCAAGGAGTGTGTCCAAGCAGCGCTGAGAGGGGCCGGCCCAGCTCCTTATCTCCCCAGAAGGCTTCTGATAATGCTTCCGCTTTCTGTACTTGTAAATATTCTCTCCCCCCCACCCCAGCTCCTTTCTGTTTTTTTGTTGTGTTTTCCCCTCAACGCATTACCTTTTAAAAAATCCCTCTTTATCTTGCAGAGACACAAGCTAGTCAGTTCCCTTAGTTCTGAGCTCCCATTTCAGCCCTAGGAAGATGTGCTGAGCACATTTGGGGATTTTGTTTGTACCACTTTTATTCTCCCCCTCCCCTAGGTTTTCAGGTCTGCTTTCTCCTCTCCTCAAGAAGTTGTGCTAGGAGTTACCAGGCGCTGTGAAACCCCCACTGCCCGCCCTGCATCCTACCGATCATTCTTTCCCAGCCCTCAGGAATGGGCTTACGCTTCCATATGATCAATGCTTTTTTTCTACAGCTTCACTTCAGCTTCTGTGTTCATCCATTGGCAACCCCTTGCCCCCCCCCAAAAAAACACGAAAAACCCTGCTAACCTTAAAATGGCCATACATACATTAGAGTTTGTCAGGAAACATTCAATGATCTTTGCTGGTATATCAGCAACAACTTCAACTAAAAAATGTCCTCTTTCACTCTGATCTCCTTACTGTAGATTAGAACAACCCTGGATATATAGAGGCCCCAGCAGTTCCACCCTGGCTGTTACTCATTGTAAGCGCTTCCAAACACCTAAGATTTCCATCTGATAGGGCACATTATTCACCTCCAAAAGGGTTGTGAGTTGCAACTGAGGACAGAATTTGGCATTTTCTAGGTAATGAAATGTTTCAAAACCTCTGCATTATTGTGGGGCTCCACAACAATCTTACTTAGATAACAGACTGCAGTAGTTTAATCTCAGAGTAATTTGCACTCAGTGCCACTTTACTTCTAAATTCAAAGCCCTCTTATTTGTTCCCTTTGTCACTACCAGCCTTCTCTATTCCGTTGTGCCTGCAGTCCATTGCTTATCCCGGTACCCCTATTTTAGATTGTCCAGAGCATACACTTAACTTCTCCACCTTAT